CCCCACACTGGGGATCAAGCCCCAAACTGGGCATCTGCCTGATTGGGAGTCGCACTTAGACCGCCCGGTTCATAGGGAACCGATCACTGTCCCGCCAGCAGAAAGGTGCGGAGCAGGAAGGCCGGTCACCTCGGCAGCTCTGAACGGCCGGAGCCAGTCACCCACGGTCCAGTGCGGACTGGGCAGCTGAAGCAGCCTCCACCTGTCAGTTTTCCGTAGATCCTTGCAGATCGGCTATTATTGGAATCGCCTGCCTCGGGGCTTCGGGTGTATCCCATAATCTAATAGAAGGACAGCCGGGCCAGAGCGGGGTGCAGTCCTCTCTGACCCCCAGCTCCCAAGTTAATGCTTTTCTGGTCTCTTCATGTGTGCGGCCTCCTCCAGAGCCGGGACCCTGAGCCACGCGGACGGGAAAGGGCCCCACGGCAGGTGACCTCGGCCACCGAGCGGCGCCGGCACTGTGGGGCCATCTCTCTGTTGCCTTCTTCGTTGGCGTCGTGGCTGGGTGCTCCCCGGGGGCAGTAAGGCAAAGTTCCCTTTCAAACGCGGTCATCGGAGCGAAAAAGCCGCCGTAGAGCCTCGCCAAAGCGCAGTTTGTTCCGTTTCTTCGGGCCTCACGTGTCTGCTGAGAGCCGCTGCTCCGCGCCAGACCCTGTTCCCGGAGCGAGTCCCCGAGTGAGCACGCAGCCGGCCCCTGCCCCGAGGCTCACAGATGCGTGGCCGAGCCGTGGAGCAGTCTGGGGGCGATGGGTGTGGGGAAGGGGGAGGGGTGTGTGTGTGGGGGGATGGGTGTGGGGAGGGGGGAGGGGTGTGGGGAGGGGGGATGGGTGTGGGGAGGGGAGATGGGTGTGGGGAGGGGGTGATGGGTGTGGGGAGGGGTGATGGGTGTGTGGGAGGGGGGATGGGTGTGTGGAGGGGCAATGGGTGTGGGGAAGGGGGAGGGGTGTGTGTGGGGGGGGGATGGGTGTGGGGAGGGGGCGATGGGTGTGGGGAGGGGTGATGGGTGTGTGGGAGGGGGGATGGGTGTGTGGAGGGGCGATGGGTGTGGGGAAGGGGGAGGGGTGTGGGGAGGGGGGATGGGTGTGGGGAGGGGGGAAGGGTGTGTGGGGAGGGGGGATGGGTGTGGGGAGGGGGATGGGTGTGTGGGAGGGGGATGGGTGTGTGGGGAGGGGGGATGGGTGTGGGGGAGGGGAGATGGGTGTGTGGGAGGGGGATGGGTGTGTGGGGAGGGGGGATGGGTGTGTGGAGGAGGGATGGGTGTGTGGGGAGGGGTGATGGGTGTGGGGAGGGGGATGGGTGTGTGGGGAGGGGGGATGGGTGTGGGGAGGGGGGATGGGAGGGGGGAGGGGGGGGGGGGGAGGGGGGGGGGGGGGGGTGTGGGGAGGGGGAGGGCTTTGTGGGGGAGGGGGGAGGGGTGTGTGGGAGGGGGATGGGTGTGTGGGGAGGGGTGATGGGTGTGGGGAGGGGGGATGGGTGTGTGGGAGGGGGATGGGTGTGTGGGGAGGGGGGATGGGTGTGGGGGAGGGGAGATGGGTGTGTGGGAGGGGGATGGGTGTGTGGGGAGGGGGGATGGGTGTGTGGGGAGGGGTGATGGGTGTGGGGAGGGGGATGGGTGTGGGGGAGGGGGGATGGGTGTGTGGGGAGGGGGGATGGGTGTGGGGAGGGGGGATGGGAGGGGGGAGGGGGGATGGGAGGGGGGAGGGGGGAGGGGTGTGTGGGGAGGGGTGATGGGTGTGGGGAGGGGGAGGGGTGTGGGGAGGGGGGATGGGTGTGGGGAGGGGGATGGGTGTGGGGGAGGGGGGATGGGTGTGTGGAGGGGGATGGGTTGTGTGGGAGGGGGATGGTGTGTGGGGGGAGGGTGTGTGGGGAGGGTGATGGGTTGTGGGAGGGGGATGGGTGTGGGGGAGGGGGGAGGGGTGTGTGGGGAGGGGGGATGGGTGTGGGGAGGGGGGATGGGAGGGGGGAGGGGGGATGGGAGGGGGAAGGGGGGAGGGGTGTGTGGGGAGGGGTGATGGGTGTGGGGAGGGGGAGGGGTGTGGGGAGGGGGGATGGGTGTGTGGAGGGCGATGGGTGTGTGTGGAGGGGCGATGGGTGTGGGGAGGGGGGATGGGTGTGGGGAGGGGGATGGGTGTGGGGAGGGGTGATGGGTGTGGGGAGGGGGGATGGGTGTGGGGAGGGGGGATGGGAGGGGGCAGGGGGCAGGGGGAGGGAAGGCCCAGAGGGAAGGCCGGCCGGGGGAGTGCAGGGTGGGTGTGTCCGGGTTGAAATGGGGCGACCAGAGGCGCTGACATGGACGCCTGCGGCTGGAGGAGGTGAGGGCGGGAGGGAGGGAGCCCTCCGTGTCTGGCAGGGCTGTCCAGGCCGGGCACGGGGAGAGCCCCGGAGAGGCTGAGAGCTGAGCGGAACCAGCGGCGGGAGGCCGGGCGGTCGGACGGTCGGGCGGTCGGCGGCAGGGCGGCCGGGAGGAGAAGGAAGGGAGGGGTCGGAGGCAGCGGGGCTCTGTGCTCCTGGAGGAGCAGCCGGTGGGCCGGGGCCGCGGAGGGCAGGGAGCTGACCTGGGCGCACACGCCCCGGTTGGTGCTGTGTGGACGGGGCAGGGGCACGGGAGAGGCAGGATTGCCCGCGAGAGTGCTCCCTGCACTCGGCCGGGGGAGGGTGTGAGGCGCGGACGGGGGGAGTGAGGGGTGTGGCTGCCGGACACGCGTGGCATCTCCTGGTCACATCTCCAGAGCCGGGGACCCCGACAGCAAGGGGGGGGCGCTCGAAGGGGAGGAGCCAGGGAGGAGGAGGGGAGGAGGAGGAGGAGGAGGAGAAAGAAGGGAAGGGGAGGAGGAGGGGAAGAGGAGGAGGAGGAGGAGGAGGGAAAGAGGAGGAGGAGGAGGAGGAAGAGGGGAAGAGGAGAAGGAGGAGGAGGAAGAGGGGAAGAGGAGGAGGAGGAGGGGAAGAGAAGGAGGAGGAGGAAGAGGGGAAGAGGAGGAGGAGGGGAAGAGGGGAAGAAGAGGAGGAGGAGGGGAAGAGGGAGAGGAGGAGGAGGGGAAGAGGGAGAGGAGGAGGAGGAAGAGGGGAAGAGGAGGAGGAGGAAGAGGGGAAGAGGGAGAGGAGGAGGAGGAAGAGGGGAAGAGGAGGAGGAGGAGGAAGAGGGGAAGAAGAGGAGGAGGAGGGGAAGAGGGGAAGAAGAGGAGGAGGAGGGGAAGAGGGAGAGGAGGAGGAGGAAGAGGGGAAGAGGAGGAGGAGGAAGAGGGGAAGAGGGAGAGGAGGAGGAGGAAGTGGAGGAGGAGGAGGGGAGGAGGAGGAGGGGAAGAGGAGGAGGAGGAGGAGGAAGAGGGGAAGAGGAGGAGGAGGAAGAGGGGAAGAGGGAGAGGAGGAGGAGGAGGAGGAGGAGGGGAGGAGGAGGAGGGGAAGAGGAGGAGGAGGAAGAGGAGGAGGAGGAGGGGAGGAGGAGGAGGGGAAGAGGGAGAGGAGGAGGAGGAGGAGGAGGAGGGGAGGAGGAGGAGGGGAAGAGGGAGAGGAGGAGGAGGAGGAGGAGGAGGGGAGGAGGAGGAGGGGAAGAGGAGGAGGAGGAGGAGGGGAAGAGGAGGAGGAGGAGGAGGAGGAGGAGGAGGGGAAGAGGAGGAGGAGGGGAGGAGGAGGAGGAGGGGAGGAAGAGGAGGGGAAGAGGAGGAGGAGGAGGAGGAGGAGGGGAGGAGGAGGAGGGGAAGAGGAGGAGGAGGAAGAGGGGAAGAGGGAGAGGAGGAGGAGGAGGAGGAGGAGGGGAGGAGGAGGAGGGGAAGAGGAGGAGGAGGAGGAAGAGGAGGAGGAGGAGGAGGGGAAGAGGGGAAGAAGAGGAGGAGGAGGGGAAGAGGGAGAGGAGGAGGAGGAAGAGGGGAAGAGGAGGAGGAGGGGAAGAGGGAGAGGACGAGGAGGGGAAGAGGGAGAGGAGGAGGAGGAAGAGGGGAAGAGGAGGAGGAGGGGAAGAGGGAGAGGAGGAGGAGGAGGAGGAGGAGGGGAGGAGGAGGGGAGGAGGAGGAGGAGGAGGAGGGGAGGAGGAGGAGGGGAGGAAGAGGAGGGGAAGAGGAGGAGGAGGAGGAGGGGCCAGTGTTCTGAAGCCTCAGAGGAAGGGGCTCCCGGGGCAGGTCCCTGGAGGTGTCCGTCGAGGGGATGGAGACCGCCCGCACCCAGTGCTGGCACCGCTGGGGCAGAGGGCGGTTTGGTGGGGGGGGGGCGGCGGACAGCTGGGGGGAGGGATGCAGGCAGGCGGAGGAGAGGGCCTGCAGGCGGGCGGAGGGCCGCTCCGGAGGGACTCTGGCCAGAACGAAAGGCGAAGGCGCCGTGGCCAGTGGCTGGGCCGCCATCTAGGAACCCGAAGGTCAGGGTTTGATTCCTGGTCCGGACACAGGCCCGGGGATTGCGGGCTCCAACCCCAGGACGGGCCAGCCGGAGGCAGCCATCAGGGATTCTCAGCATGGATGTTTCTCTTCCTCTCTGAAACCAATCACAACTTTTCTTTATTGGCGGGAGGGCGGGGTGGGAAGAGGGGTCTGTTTCTCAGTTTGGGTTTTAAGGTGGGAGAGGGAGCAGGTGGAGGGCGGGGAGTGCCGGGCAGGGGCCAGGACGCCGGCCGGGTCCGGGGGATTCTCTTCGGTTCATTCATCCAAAGGGCGATCCCGGGCGCCCCAGTACCGGGCCACTCTGGGGCGGGGACGGCCACGGCGTGTGTCCGTGTGTCCGTGTGTCCGCGGCCGGAGGAGGGGCGGGAGGAGCGGGAGCGGAAGGACCGGCCGCCCAGGGTCCCGGCGGCGGCGCGGGCGGGGTCCGGGGGTCAGGACGCACCCCGGGCGCAGGTGCCAGGCGGCCCGGCCTCCGCCACGGACACGGCCCCTCCGGCCGCGCGCCGTCCCCGTGTTCCCGCCGGCGGAGCGGGGAGAGGGTCACCGCGGAGCGGGCGCCGCTGCCCGCGGGCCGTCCAGCCCCGGCGCCGGGCGCGGGGGCGGCGCTGACCACGCCCCGGGCGGGGCGGGCTCGGCTCGGGCTCCGGCCCCGGCTCGGGCCGCGGGCGGGGCTCGCAGTCCTGCCGCCGCGGGAGCCGGAGGTACGGGGGCCGCGCGGGGAGCGTCCGGGGTCCGGGCCGCCTGGGCGCGCCCGGCCCGGCGGGGAGGGGCGCGAGGGCTCGGCCGCCGCCGGCCACCTGCCCCGGGGACCGGGGGGCGCCCCCCGCTGCGCCCCGAGTTCAGCGCGGCTGGCGGGCCCGGAGCCCAGCCCCTCTGGGAGCCCCCCCCCCCAGCCCGCGGCGGACCGCGGCGGGAGCAGGCGGGTGGGGGTGAGGGGCCGGGGTCTGGGGCGCAGGAGGCCGGACCCCCGTGCGCGGCAGCGGCCCCCGGGGCGGGAGGTGCTGGGAGAACGGCCTCCGGTGGGCGCCGGCCCGGGGGCAGCTGGCCGCCGGGAGTCAGGCCTGGGCGCTGCCTCCACCCGGACCCGCGAGGACCCTTCTCCGGGCGGCTTCTCCCGCTCCGGCCTCCGGAGGGAGGTCCGGGGACTGGCGCTGGGTGTGCGCGGGGAGTCCCCCTCCTCACTGCTGGGGAGGGCCTGGCCTCAGTTTCCCCTTCTGACCCCTGGGGTGGCACTCCCGCCGCCTTGCCAGCCTCAGTGAGCCTCTGGCCCCGAGAGGGTTAAAGCCACCTCCCTGGCGCCCACCGCTCCCAGGGGACTCTCATCGCCTCCCCCTTCCCAGACCCTGAGGGGTGGCCCCCGCAGGCCCGCAGGCACCCAGGGCCTCACCCTCACCACCACCGCCTGGAGCACCACCTGGCGGCCCTGGCCTCCGGCTGCCCCAGGCTCCCTCTGCTCCCCTCCTCCCGAAGGGGGAGCACCCTGCCGGCTGACGGACCAGGGCCCAGGCTGGCCAGGCCTGCACCCTCCGCGCTCACGCCTGCACTCAGGGTTCCCACTGCTGAGACCCCCCCAAGAGGGAGCCCCGTCAGGCCCCAACACAAAGGGAAGAAAGGGCCGTCCGATGGACGGAGTCCTCACTGCTGTTCTGTCCTCCGGAGCCTGAGCGCCTGCCCTGCTTGTCTGCGTCAGAGGACAAACTCCCAAACGAAACTTCTTCTTTTCTTTTTAAATATGTTTTTATTGATTTCAGAGAAAAATGGAGAGGAGAGTCAGAAACATCAATGATGAGAGAGAACCACTGATTGGCTGCCTCCTGCACACCCCCTACTGGGGATGGAGCCCACAACTCAGGCACGTGCCCTTGATTGGGATCGAACCCGGGACCCTTCAGTCCGCAGGCTGACGCTCTGTCCACTGAGCCAAACCAGCTAGGGCCCCAGTGAATCTTATTAGAAACATGTTTTGTTTTGAAGCCTTCTACCCTGTCTCCCCGAAAATAAGACAGTGTCTTATATTAATTTTTTCTCCCAAAGTTGTGCTAGGTCTTATTTTCAGGGGATGTCTTATCTTTCCATGCGCTGGGTCTTATTTTCGGAGGAAGTCTTATTTTGGGGAAACACGGGTAGCCGCCTGGGTTGCGGGGCTGAGCCGGAGGAGTGTGAGGGACCAGCCCCTTGGGTGGCAGGGTCTGCGTGCAGAGTCTCTCACGTGACTTGCAACATCAGGAGGTCCGGACCCACATCCCCACACCAGCCCTGCCTGGCAGCCCTGCCCAGGTGCGCAGGCCTCAGAGGATGGAAGTGCCCCGCCTCCCAGGTCTGTGCTGGGACCTGTCGGGGCGAGAGGAGGTGGCTGCCTGGGACATTTGCCGCCAGATTGGGAGAAGGGACGGAAACATGGCCCCAGCCGGTGTGGCCCAGTGGATAGAGCGTCGGCCTGCAGACTAGAAGGCCCCGGGTTCGATTCTGGTCGAGGGCACATGTCCGGGTGCAGGCTGTATCCCCAGTAGGGAGTGTGCAGGAGGAAGCCACTCAGTGATTCTCTCTCAATACTGATGTGTTGTGTGTGTCCCCCCCTCCCCCCGCTTTTCTCCCTCTCCCTCTCCTCCCTTCCTCTCTGAAACCAATAAAAATATATTCTTTTAAAAAGGAAGCTTGAGATGTGAAAAAGCCTCACCCTACCCCCAGCTGCTGTCCCTCCAGTTCTGTCTCCTGCGGGCGGGCGGGGCGGGGCGGGGTGGGCTGCGCCTGGGACCTGCCCTCCTGGGACCTGCCCGGGAGCTCTGCCCTGTGTCTGGAATGCACTTCCTCCCGCCCGGTGTGCGCCTGGGGTGCCGGCCCAGCCCAGCCATCCTGTGTGCTCGAAGGAATGAAGCAGAAGCAGCGGAAGACGCTCCTTGTTTGCATCCCTCAGAGGGAAGGATGGTTACAATGCTCCCCTTTGCTGGATACTTTTTTGACATCCTCCAATATGGGCTCTTTAGATGTTTCAACCTCCTCACCTCTCAACAGGGTTGTATCTTCCAACACTTACCTGTCGTTACACCCTATCCAGCTAAGGGCCGCTAGGGTGGCGCTTTCAGGTCGGTGCTGGCACTGAGGGTGCCCAGTGCTCAGGCTGCTGGCTGTGTGGCCTCCGGGCCCGGGAGCCCCTGGGAGGGCTGCCCGGAGCCACTGGCTCCGGAGGCTGTGCTTCGGGCCGGAGTGCGTCTCGTCACTTCCTAGGGACGGAGTTCTGGGCATGCAGGACCCTGCCTCGGGGGGTCCCGGTCCCCTCGCTGGGGTGGTCAGCGAGGTCCTTGCCTCTGTCTCCCCAGCCGACAGCTCCCCCCAGGATGTGGTTTAGCTTTTATTGTGCCGCGGGTGTGTGCTTAAGGAGCAGTTTCGCCTTTGGTTTACGTGATCTGGGTGTGTGCTGTGTGACAAAGGAGACACTGGTGCTGAGGGGAAAGGGCCTGAGGGGTCAGCTGAGGAGGAGGGCAGGACACAGACCGAGGGCCCAGGCGTGCGGGGAGGTGGGAGGGGCGGGCCCTGGTCTGGAGGGACCTGAGCTGGTGAGGACAGGAGGCGGGGCTGGGAGGGCACCTTATGAATGGGGGGCTGGAGGACCCCTTATGAGATGGCTTTGATCTTCCTGGAGAGGAGGCGGAAGCATCAGAGAGGGTTCTGGAACCGAGTCCCAGCTCCCTGTGCTGCCTGCTGGCCCAGTCCCCTGAGCCCTCCCTGCTCCCTGGGAAGCAGCAGGTGTTACGGCCCCTTTGACAGATTGGGGGGGGGGGGGGAGCCCTGGTTCAGGGCCAGGCAGCTGCTGAGTGGCAGGGCTGGCGCCCTTGAGAACCGTCCTCCCGCCTCCACGCCTGTGGCTACGGGACGCGCACCGCCCTCCCTGCCTGCGCTGGCGAGCCTGTCCCTTCCCCTCCTCGGCCTTGTCTTCTTTCTGACGCCCCTTCTGCAGGGGCATCCGGCAGAAGCCGAGTGGACCCGGGCCTGGGAGAGCCCCCTTCCTCCCCAGGCAGGCGCCCGCACACCCTCCGGCGCCCGCTCTCCCCGCCGGTGGCTCCAGAGCCGCACGCCCCCTCCTGCGCCGTCCGAGCGGCCAACACGGAGCCGGGGGCAGGCCGCGGTCAGACGGGAAGCTGTCTCCGTCTGGGAGCCGCTGGCTTCGGAAGAGCAGGAGCCACTGGCCTGACGGGGACACAGGTCGCTCCCTCCCACCGTCCCCAGGCAACCCCTGGGGCAGGGAGGCCTCCCGCCCTGAGCCCCAGTGAGGCCCGGACACCCCACTTCCTCACCTGGCCTGGCTTACACACACACACACACACACACTCACACACACCGCTCTGTGCTGCGGTTCCCGTTTTAGAGGTGAGAAAGTGGAGACTTGGGACACACACACACACTCACTCACACGCTCACACACACACACAGACACACACACCGCCCTGTGCTGCGGTTCCCGTTTTAGAGGTGAGAAAGTGGAGACTTGGGACACACACACACACATGCTCACACACAGAGACACACACAGAGAGACACACACACACACTCACACTCACACACAGTCACACACACACACACACTCACACACACACTCTCACACACACACACACACATACACTCACACACAGACACACACTCACACACAGACACACACACTCACACACAGACACACACTCACACACAGTCACACACACACACAGACACACACACACTCACACACAGACACACACTCACACACAGACACACACACACACACACACACACACACACACCGCTCTGTGCTGCGGTTCCCGTTTTAGAGGTGAGAAAGCGGAGACTTGGGACACACACACACACACACACACACACGCTCACACACACACAGACACACAGAGACACACACAGACACACACACACAGACACACACACACACAGATACACACACACAGACACACAGAGACACACACAGAGACACACACAGACACACTCACACGCTCACACACACACAGAGACACAGACACACACACTCACACACGCTCACACACACACAGAGACACACACAGACACACACAGACACACAGAAACACACACACCCAGAGAGACACACACACACACTCACGCTCACACACACACACAGAGACACACACACACAGAGACACAGACACAGACACACAGACACACACACAGAGAGACACACACAGACACACACACACACACACACACACCCCGTGTTGGAGGTGAGAAAGCGGGGACCCGGGGTAAGTGCTCTGCTTTGTCACGGGCCCCTGGGCGCCTGCCCGGTGCGGTCCCCGGGGGCCCAGGCGGGGGCCCAGGCAGACCCTCTGTCCTGGCAAAGGGGTTCGAGTCCCAGCGGCGCCTCGGTTTCCGGGCGGTCGGGCCCGCTGAGCGCTGCGGTGAAACCACGGCGACCAGCGCGGCGGGAAGCCCTCAGGGAACACGGCGTTGTTGGGTCACGTAGCCCCACGCCTGCGGGGGCTTCCCGTGTGTGTGCGTGTGTGTGTGTGCATGTGTGTGCGTGCCTGAGAGAGAGGGAGAGAGAACTCGGCCGCCTGCCTCCCACCGGGTGGGAGGACGGGGCCCCAGCACGGGAGAGGGCGTGGGCTGGTGAGACCCGCTCGGACCGGCATGTCAACCCCGAAGGGCCCCTGTGCGCGGGGCTCCTCGGGGAGAGGCGAGGGCGGACGTGGCCGAGGCGCGCACC